GGAGCCAGGGAGGTGATAACTCTGGCCGGAGAAGACATACGTGGGTGTGCGTGTTCATTCTGGTGCATGTGTGTGCATGCTTGCGGGGGCCAGAGGACAACCTTGGGTATTGTTTCTCAGAAGCCAACCACCTTGTTTTGAGACTCTCACTGAAGATGGAGCTTGCCATGAGTGCTAGAGTGGCTGGCCATTGAGCTCTAGAGACCTGCTTGTCTCTGACTCCCCAACACTTGGCTTACAGGAGTGTGGCATCACACGTGGCTTTCTTACGTGAGTTCTGTGGTTCAACTAGTGTCTTCACACTTGCAAAACAAACATCTTACTATTTTCTGATTTTTTAAAGAAAAAATTATTTCTCTCTCTCTCTCTGTGTGTGTGTGTGTGTGTGTGTGTGTGTGTGTGTGTAAGAGAGAGAATATGTGTGGAGGTCAGAGGACAATTTGTGCGAGGGAACTTTCCCCTTCCACCATGTGGGTTCCAGGAATTGAACTCGGGTCATCAGGTTTGATGACAAGTGCCTTTACCCACTGAGCCGTCTCGCTGGCCCCGTACTCTAGTTTTGAATAAGAACTAACTAAGTATGCTAAGGGATCACGTCTGGGGTTTGAGAAAAAAGGACAAGCGTTTTCCCTGGGTCTGAGCTCAGCTGATAGCCACGCTGAAGCAAATGCAAGGTCCTGTGGAAAGACCCTCTGGCTGTTAGTAACCATTGCCAGTTTCGCAACGCATTCTGTCACATGAGAATGGGGAGCTGACGACAGGATTCCTGAGCTGAGCTCCAAGACGAAATCTAGTCTGCCATTAAACCTGTGGCAGTTGGGGCGTCCAAAGTCATGGAATAGAACCATTACCTGGGGACAGAGGATGCCTCCAGAAGAGACTGGTTGGAGGCTGAACAAACTTGAGCTCTTCATGGCTGGAGAAAGATGAAGGAACCACAAGGCAGAAGGGCCCGTGCCCAGCACACCTCTCTGTAGGGCATGTATGAACCACATAGTGATCTCGAAGAGTAAGCAAGGTGCCATGAGCTCAGCACGTACAGCGGCCTGATGTGTATGAATCACCAGCTGCCAGCTTTATGACAGCACTGCCTTACGTTATTGTCATTGTCACCATCTCGGTATGTAGAGGACCTTTCCATGTCAGAGACCTAGTTAGTCATTGACCAAGATGAAATACTTAAGTAGCCCAGAAGAAGGACAATTCCCTTAATGGACGGAGGCTTCCAGTAAGTAATTGCAAAGAAAATATTAACCACTGCTCGTTACGCTGATGTGAATACAAAGCAAAGCAAACAACCAGCTCCTGATGGAGAAGGAATTGTTCATGCTCCCTGAGCTGTCCAGGTCACGTGTGCATGTTGTGTGCGTTCGCTGTGCGTGCTTGTTGTGTGTGCATGTCATATGTGCTAGTGTACTTGAGCATGCAGGTATGTGCTTGTGTGCGTGCATGTATGTGTAGGCCAGATGTCAACCTTAGATGTCGTTCCTGAGACACTGTCTGCCTTTTGTTTGTTTGAAATTGTCTCTCCCTGGCCTGGAGCTCACCAAGTAGGCTAGGCTGGCAAGATCTTCCTGTTTCCACTTCCTCCCGCTGGGGTCACAAGTGCATGCCACTGGGCTCAGGTTTCCTTTTCTACACCTGGAGATCGACTCAGGTCCTTCCTCACATTTGCAAGGCATGCCCCCCCCCCACTGCCTGAGCTATCCCCTAGGCCTTGTACTCCACCCCCCACCCCCTCCCCACTAGCTAAGGACTGAGCCCAGGGCCTTTCTAGGCAAGCACTCTACTACTGAGCTAAATCCCCAACTTGCTTGATTTTTTTTTTTTACTCTCTTAACACGACAGAAAATAATACAAAACAAATGCCTAGAGAGGGTAGAGTACGCCTTTAATTCCAACCCTCAGAGGCAGAGGCAAGTGCGTCTCTATGAGCTCCAGGTCAGCCATGGCTATACGGTGAGACCCTGTCTCAAAACCAAACCAAAACAGAAGGAAAGAAATGCAAATGCAAGTCCTGGGATAGCTCTGGTTGTCTCTATTAATTACCTCTCTTATAACAAAATACTTGAAAGAAATAATCTCGGGGAAGAAGGGGTTTATTGTGGCTTCAGCCTCAGAGGGATTTGCCATCGTGGTAGGAGGCATGGCGGTGGATGGTTCTATGACAGCCGTAGCTTATTAGTTGTTGTCCTTGTCAAATGACAGAAGCAGCTTAGAGAAAGAAAGACGAATTTTGGTTCCTGGTCTCGCGGTAGGGGAGGACACGGTAACTGCAGGGACGCGGTGGCTGCAGGTGCAGCTTTGGTGTTAGAGCCTGTGGGTAGATAAGAAGAAGAGGAAGGCTCAGCCTGGAACTGAAGCTGAGACCAGGCTACCCCACAAGTTTCCTGTGCAGCCTGTGGCCAGCTCCAGCCTCCTGAAATGGTCAGCTGGGCCCCACGTGTTTCACCACATTAAATGAAAATTTACCAGCAGAATCACTGTTGGAACATACAATGTCCAGCTCAGGGCTGTGTGTTTAAATTCCTTGTTTCCTTATGGAGCTGGAGCGGCAGATGGTTGTGCTCTGCCACGTGGGTGCCGGGAACTGAACTCAGGTCCTCTGCAAGAGCAGCCAGTGCTTTTAACAATTGAGCCATATCTCCAGCCCCATGAAGGAAACTTTTTTAATTTGATAACCGTTAACTGCCCAAAACTCTACTGGGCAGCCAGAGAGATGGCTCAGTAAGTAGAGGCGTTCGCTGCAAGCCTGACCACCTGAGTGTGGTACCAGGGACCCACGTGGTAGAGGACTGAACTGACTCGTGATGGTCGTCTGACCTCTGACCAACACACAGAAGCTGAGGCACAAGTGTGTCCTCCCTAGATAGATAGATAGATAGATAGATAGATAGATAGATAGATAGATAGATAATATAATAATTTTTTTTTGTTTTTGAGACAGGGTTCCTCTGTGTAGCCCTGGCTTTCCTGGAGCTTGCTCTGTAGACCAGGCTAGTCTCAAATTCAGGGAGTCACCTGCCTCTGCCTCCCGAGGGCTGGCATTAAAGATGTGTGCCACCACTGCCTAGCAATAAGATATTTTTTTAAGTTAAGACAAACACTGTGATTAAATATTCATTGTTGAGTGCCAGATTAGCTTAAGCTATGATGCAAGGCTATGTCCTAAAAATAAAAATGAAAGAGCAGAAAGCCAGAAGGAAGGGAGGAAAGAAGAAAGAAATAACGAAGGAAGGAAGGGAGGGAGGGAGGGAGGGAGGGAGGGAGGGAGGGAGGGAGGAAGGAAGGAAACCGGACACGAGCTCCCATTGTCACTATTTCTTCCTTAGACCTGGCAGAGTTCTGATCAGTCGGGGTAGGAGAAGAAAAAGTCTACATGTAAGGAAGGAGATGTGTGAGGATATAAAATAAGTGGGAAGAAAAGCCTTTTTTCATTCCAAGACAGGGTTTCTCTGTGTAACAGTCCTGGCTGCTCTGGAACTCACTTTGTAGACCAGGCTGGCCTCAAGCTCACAAAGATCCACCTACCTCTGCCTAGGAGTAAAGGTGTGAGCCACCACCACCCAGCTAAGAAAATCTTTTTGTTCTCAGGTGACAGGACTGTTCACCCAGAAAACCCAAGGGAATCTACAGGAAAAAAAGCTAGCAAGAGGTTCTAGCAAGAGGTTCTAGCAAGAGGTTCTAGCAAGGGTCCACACAGAGCAACACAAATCAGAGCACATCTCTACATGGAGGACAACAGAACACAAACTTAAAAATACACTGGCTTTGGGGCTGGGAAGGCGGTTCAGTGGTTAATAGTGTAAACTGTGCTTCCAGCGGTCCTGAGTTCAGGTCCCAGCCCTCCTTAAATTGGCTCAGAACACTCTATATATTTCCAGTATGCGCTCTCCCCCTTCCTTCCTTCTCTCTCTGTCTCTGTCTGTCTCTCACACACACGGATAAAAACCAAAATTAATCCTTAAAACAAATGTTAGTTTGGCATGGTAGCTCGCACCTGCATTTCCAGCCCTCAAAAAGGAGTTAGGAAGATTTCTGTGAGTTCTAAGCAAGCCTGGGCTACAAAGTGAGACCCTGTCTCAAAGCAAATGCATTATCAACAATATGATAATAAAAATATCCTAGAAATAATTCTAAAGTACATGTCTGTGACACTGATGGAGAAAATCATAAAAAAAAAGTGGACAAAATGGAAGGACCTTGCTTTGTCCCCATACAGAGGAGTCCCTGTTTGTGGATCTGTGGTAGCTGGTTGATTTTCAATGAGGCTAGATCTAGAATCGCCATGGAAGGAAACTTCTAGGCCTGTCTGTGAGGGAGTTTCTGGGTTGGGTTAATTAATGTGGGAGACCTCCCCTGAATGCGGACGGCGGCATCATGGACTTGGGTCTAGAACTGACTGAAACAGAGGAAGTGAGCGGAGCACAGGCATTCTCTCTCTGCTTCCTGACTGTGTGACTGGTTGGTTGCCTCATGCTCCTGCCTCCACACCTTCCCCGCCATGACGGACTGCACTGTGAGCCAAAGCAAAGTTTCTCTTCCTTGAGTTGCTTAAATTGTTGGGTGCTTTGTCCCAGCAGCAAGAGAAGTCGCTGCTCCAGAGCCCAAACCAGAGAGTCAGGGCACAGGAAAAAGAAATCTCATCTTGAATGTGGACACTTAAAAATACGTCAGCTAGTCCGACTGTGGAATGTGATAAAAGTCCCTGACCAGCTTGGGTTTGGCCCATAAGCAGAAGAATTCCTCGGCATCCCTGGCTCTTGGGCGCCAAGATGAGGTCAGGGATGTGGGTGGGCTTAGGGTGGGGCCTTGTTCCAGATAAGCTTTGGGTGAGCACCTTCCAGCCAAGCTGGGGCTCCCGTGAACAAACTGAGGAGCCTCTGTTGACGGAGGAGATAACGAAAAGTGGACAGACAGGTGGGGATTGAGACATCAGCAGGTGTGGTGTGTGTTCTGGGTGAAGACAAAACCATGCCACAGGTGAGTTGTTTGCCAGCCAGTCACGCTTACTTCCTGGTGGGACAAATCCCTAGCCCGTCCTCTTGAAGTGCCCTGTTTGCCAGCTCTGCCCCTCGCTCGCCTCCCTGGGTAGCAGGAACACAGAAGGTCCGCTAACCATAAGGTTCTTCTTGACTGCACTGCTCTTTGATGTAAGTTTTACAAATCCTACCCTGATTTGGCTTATAATTAGACTGAGGTTTTGGAAGAGTTTGGAGAGAGTGAGCCTCTTCTACAGTGAATGGTTCCATCGCTATTCATTGCTTGTCTCTTTGCCACAATAAAATACCTGTCGAAAGAAACTTGGGAAAGAAGTGGTTTATGAGGCTAAAAATTCAAGTGTCTAGCCCATCATGGTGGGGACGGCATGGTGGTAGGCGCATGAGGTCACAGAATGCCCAGTCAGGAAGTAGAGCGGGTTGAAGGTTGGTGCTCATTTTGCTTTCTTGTTTTTTATTTGGTCTGGGACTGCTCCCCCCCAAATGGTGCTGCCCACATTCAGGGTGGGTCAGCTAACCCAATCTAGAAACTCCCGTATAGACATACCCAGAGGCTTACCTCCCCGGTGGACACCAGTATGAACTATCACAAGGACTAAAGATAGGGTGATCTCATAAATGATGTGGAGAATAAAAAAGCCCATCCTGGTCAAGACTGCTGTCCCTTGGCCTTTTGTAAGAAGTCACCAGGTGTCATCTGTTGCTACAAGAGCTTTTTTTGTCTGAGTCAGATGGGGTGTTAACTTCCCTGAGAGTCATTTGTTTCTAAGAGAGTTTCAGTGTGTTTGCCAGGGAGCAGTCTGTAGCCTTCTCATGTTTAAACAACAGGTTCCTTGGCTTAGAAGTCTTTGTCTCTGAGGGCGACGTGGGTTGTTGTCAAGATGCCCTGGCTCTATCTGTTCAGAATTTGTCATTCTTAGTCTTCTTGCAGAACTTGTTTGTGGGTCGTGTGAGCATCTCTAATACACCTTTGTTTAAATTTCATTAGTGTTTATTGTGGTGCTGGAGTGTGTCTCAGTGGCAGACAGTGGTAGAAGCCTTGCCTGACCATGCACAGGGCCTTGGGTTGCATCCCTACCACAGAAAACAAACACGAATACCATGTGTATTTGTGTGTGTGTTGCTGTATAAACTTGTTAGTGTGGGTGTGCACATGTGTAATAGGGTCTCACTATGTACCTGGTACTTGCTATGTAAACCATGCTGGCCTTGAACTTAGATAGATTCCCCCCCACCTTGGCCTCCCAAGTGTTAGGATTAAATGCATTCACCACCATGTCTGACCCCTATCTGTACGACACACACACACACACACACATTTTATCCTATTTATTTTTAGATTTACCTTATTAGTGTGTGTGTGTGTGTGTGTGTTTGAGAGAGAGAGAGAGAGAGAGAGAGAGAGAGAGAGAGAGAGAGGAGAGAGAGAGAGAATAGGTGCCCACAAGGTCCAGAAGGGAGCCCTGGAAATCTGGATCTGGAGTTAGAAGCACTTATGAGCCACTGATGGGGGTACTGATGATCTAACTCAGGTCCTTGGTAGAGGAGAATGCACCTTGAACCTTTGAGCCGTCTCTCCAACTCCCACCCTTATTTTTGAGGCAGAATCTCTCAGTGAACCTGAAGCTCACTGTTTTGGCTAACACGGCTAACCAATGAGCTTCAGTGACCCCTGGTCTTCACTCTGGCCCAGTGCTGGGGTTATAAGTAGAAGCCCTCACATGGGTTCTGGGAGCCTGAACTCAGGTCCTCAGGCTTATGCACCAGGGACTTTACTGGCTAAGCCATGTCCCTAGCCCACCCTGTCTTATTTTTAGAAACAATTAAACTCCAGGGTTGAGTGGCTACCTGCTAATTTAATCCTCACCTCCTTCTGTCATAATGACTGGTTTTCTTCTAAGTACAGTCTTATCAGCTGTGTTCTTTAAATTCAATGGACTCTGGGAATAGAATGTATTTTCTGTTTTTGTAATTGCTCCATTTTGAATTCCGTCTCATTTCTGAGATAACTATTCCCTGACCTCTAACTGTCTAGAATGTCTTTGCTTTGAGTTTAAAAGCATCTCTCCCGGTACCTTTCTTTGGTTTTTGGAGAGCATTTTGCTCAGATTGAGGTCTGTATGAGACAAGTAGACAGGGGTGCAGGAGACTTGCGTGAATGGAAGTTACCAGAGGAAAAAAGCCACACCTTTGCTAAAGATTCAACAAGCTGATTGACTGATAACTGCTTCTGTGAGTGTGGGGAGCTGGAATGTTGCAGGTCCAGAGCCAAATCTTGGGCAATCTTCAAAAGCCCCATAAAAAGTCATTTATTGACCGGCTTGTGTGTGACCTAACATCCTCGTGACTATCAAGCAAATCATTTTGGACTGCATTAACTTGAAGGATCCCCTAGCTGCTACCAACCCAAAGGCTAAAAATAACATCAGACGGCATTCAAGACATATAGTAGATACTCCCCTATTCTTCTGTACCCCACTTACCTGATGTTTCCACCAGTATACTTGAAAAGTGTACTTATTTGTGACTTTCTTTGTTCTGTTACTATTGAAACATCATAGAACTCTCTCTTACCACGCTGGTATTTGTAGGCAACCTGCATCTGTGTTCCCTAGCCATGGTCACTCAGATGTATCTCTAGAATAAACTGACTCTTGTTCCCTCTGAGGTGAGAGCTGTCAATGTGTGTGTGTTCATGACATTTACTTATGGGCTTGCTTCCTGTCAGCTTATTGAAAATAGATTCTTTTCTCAAACAATATTATCTTTAGTATAGTTTCTCCTCTCTCTATTTCTCCCAGTCCCTCCCTATCTCTCCCCTCTCCAGATCCACTCCTTTTCTGTTTCTCATTAGAAAAGAACAGGCTTCTAGGAGATATCAACCAAATGTGGCAAAATAAAATATAACAAGGTAAAACCAAAATCGTCACATCAAGGCTGGACGAAGTAAACCAACAGAAGGAAAAGAGCCCCAAGAGTAGCCACAAATCATCAGAAAGGCTTCAGCTGATGAGAGCAGATGCAGAGAGCCATGGCCAAACATTGAGTCCCTTCTCTTGGAGCTCAGGGAAACCCTGCAGAAGATGAGGAGGAAGAATTGTCGAAGCTAGAAGGGTTGAGGACACTAGGAGAATAGGGTCCACAGAATCAACTAAGCAAGGCTCAAAGGAGCTCACAGAGACCGAAGTAGCAATCAGGGAGCCTACATGGGTCTGTGCTAGGTCTTCTGCACATATGCTATGGTTGTGTACCTTGGTGTTTTTGTGGGACCCTTAGCAGCAGGAGTGGGGGCTGTGTCTGACTCTTTCACCTGCTCTTGAGACCCTTTTCCTCCTATTGGGTTGCCTCATCCAGCCTTGGTATGATTGTTTGGGCCTATTCTTATTGTATTTTGTTATCCATGTCTGGTTGATATCCCTGGGAGGCCTGCTCTTTTCTGAAGGGAAGCATAGGAAGAGTGGATCTTTGGGAGAGAAGAGGTAGGGGTGGGACTGGAAGGAGTGGAGAGAGGGGGAACTTTGGTTGGTATGTATTATATGAAAGAACACTTTAAAGAAAGAGTATGCATAAAAATCAGACTCACTCATTCACACACTCAGGAGTCCCACAAAAGTACTAAGTGAAAACTATAATATATATGCAGAGGACCTGGTGCAGACTCGCTCATGCAGCTTCAGTCTCTGAGTTTATATGTGCCTTGCTCGGCTGATTCAGAGGGCCTTGTTCTACACTTTTTCCACCCCATCTTCCATAGGATTCCCTGAACTCTGTGTGAGAGGGATTTGATGGAGGCATCCTATTTACAGCTGTGTGCTCCAAGGTCTGGCTGTGGGTCTCTGTATTTGCTCCCATCTGCTGCAGGAGCAAGCTGCAGGAGGAAGTCTCTGATGATTGACTAATATAAAAGTATAGCAGAATATCATTAGGAGTCATTTTATTGTTACTTATTATTATTTTTTTTAGAGCAGTAATATTTGGTTTTACCCTATGTCTCTGAGATATCTAGTCTCTGGTTCTTGGTCACCCAAACAGCACCAAATATGGATTCCATTTCATGGAATGGGCCTTAAGTCAACCAGACATTGGTTGGCTATTCCCACAAGTTCTATGCTACCATCGCCCTAGTATATCTTGTAGGCAGGCTATATGTAGATCAAAGGGTTTGTAGCTGGATTGGTGCTTATGTTTCTTTTTTGGTAGCCTGGAAGAGTTTCTTCCTGTACCAAAGACACTAGAACATGGTGGGTGAAGGCCCCATGTAGGCTCCAGCTCAACTTCTCCATGTTCAATGAACTGTGTGAGTGTAAGCAATGAGACTCCACAATCTGTTTTTAGAGAGCAACCCATTCTCTTAGCAACAGCCTGGGTTGTTTGGGGGTTTCCATGGAACCCCCTTCGCCAGCAACTCAATTGAATGCAACTCAGTCCCAGTACCGGAAGTCTTCTTTGGTGATGAGAGGGCCAGTTAAGGTTTGGTCACCCCCATTATTAGAAGTCCTCATTAGGATTTCTTCATGTATTTTAAGAATTTTCCCACAGCACTAGGTTTCCATACCATCCCTCAAATGTCCCTCAATTCTAGCTGTCTCTTCCCCACATTCCCTCCCTTCCTTGAGCCAGGGTCTCTTTGTTACTGGAACTTGTGTAACACAGACTGGCCTCAAACTCCAGAGCTTCCTTCCTCGGCTTTCCTAGAGCTGGGATTACAGGTGTGTACCAGCACATCCAGCTAAGCACGTATCCCTAGCCTCTGACATCGAAGAGTGCATTGAGGCTGAACCCCACCCACACAGAGAGGAGGTGCCCATTACTGTGATGCACTCAGGACCCCCCAGGACCTTTGGTTAGGAGGAGAGACTACAGTCCAAATTGAGGCCAGTCTAGAGATGTCCTTGTGCCTGTTGAAGTAGCTGAATTTATAATCAAAAGGCCACTAAAGAGGCTGAAGAGATGGCTCAGCTGTAATTAGGTTATTTTGCTCTTGCAGAGGATTAAGTTGGGTACCAGCCATGTCAGGTGGCTCACAATTCCCTCTCATTCTAGCCCCAGGGAGTTTCAGTGCCCCCTTCTGGACTCTGTGGGCCCCTGTATTCTCATGCAAACAGCCCACACACAGACTTACACATAAACACACAAAGCTAAAAATAATAAAAGAAACCATTTTTATTTTGAAGTTTTAACTATGAAATCCCCAGGCCCTAATATGTTTTCTGGAAGCTACTACAACCCTTCACAGAAGAACTGATTGTTCTTACTCTTTCCAGGTCAGGAGCGAGTTGCTCAGGTGCGAGGCCCATACCAGCCAGACAATGAAGCAGGTGGAGGTGTGTGCAGACCGCAAACACTCAAAAGCTCTGTGCCTTCTGGACTGTGTGATCTGAATCCTGTGGAAATTAGAAACCAGCAAGCAAGACATGGTGGGACATTGCTGCAACCCCAGCACTAAGGATATAGAGGCAGCAGAATTCAAGACTAGGGAGCAGGCACGATAGCCCAGGGGATAAAAGTACTGCTGTGCCCAGCATCCTGAGTTCTAGCTCCAGAACCCGTGTAAAAGTGGAAAGAGAACATTGATTCTACAGATTTGTTCTCTGACTGCCACATATGCATTGAAATGTGCACACACATACAAACAATAATAAAATAAATTTAAAAAATATAATTCAAGATTATTCTAGGATACATGAGACCCTGTCCCTCAAAAGACCACTGTGTCCCCAAAAGAAAAATAGCTGGGCATGGTGGTGCATGCCTGCAATCCTGATCACTCAGGAGCAGGAGGAACAGGGATTCAAAATCACCCTCAGCTACATAGCAAGTTCTGGTCCATATGGGCTACATAAGCCCCTGTCTCAACAAACCAAAGGAAGGAAGAAAAAGAGGAAAGGAGGGAGGGAGGGAGAGAGAGGAGGAAAGAAGAAAGGAGGGATGGAGTGGGAGGGAGGGAGAGAGGGAGGGAGGGAGGGAGAGAGGAAGGAAGGAGGAATGGAGGAAGAGAGGGAGAGGGAGGGGAGGAGGGAGGGAAGGAGGGAGGGAAGGAGGGAGGGAGGGAGGGGGGAGGGAAACACAGCTTACCACCATCATAGCAGCCCATGCGTCATTGGTCTGACATCCCTGCCCTGGTGTTCTGGCACACTGGCCATTTAAGCCAAAGGCACTTGAGCAGCAGCAGGTGCAGAACAATCGCTCTGACCTTCTGCCTGTTTTTGAAAAGTAGGAGATGAAATTCTGTTGCGAATGACACAACATCCTTATCTGCAACGGCCCAGAAGTTTCAGCATGGGTCTTGTTAACTCTTATCTTTTAAGCTTCCCAATGTAATTTCATTTTCTGCTTCCTGACTTAAACACTCCGCATTCAATTCGGCTTCCGAACTGAGGATTTCCAACTGCTCTTTTGGGTGGGAGGGGGCACGGGGGGTGTCTCAGTTCCTTTGAAAGGTTCCCAGCCTCCATAAAACCAGGCTTCTCTGTAGTTCTTCTGGGGCCACCAGAGAAAGCAGAGGAATGAATCACCCCCATGCTTTCTGCCTATGATGCTTGTGAAGCAAGGACGCTCAGAGAGAAAGTGCTCAGGGCTGGTGAGATGACTCAGCAGGCGAAGGGGCCTGCGGCCACCTCCGGCAACCTGAGTCTGATCCCCAAGACCCATGTGGTGAAAGAAAGAACCAGTTTCTGTGAGTTGTCCTCTGACCTCCACATGCCCATTGCCCCACTCCCACATGCAGATTAAATACATAGACCGAAAATTAATAGGAGACAGAATGGGGAGATGGTTCAGGGTTAAGAGCACTTTCTGCTCTTCCAGAGGACCTGAGTTCAGTGCCCAGCACCTATATCTGGCAGCTCACAACCATTGACCACTCCAGGGGGGTTGATGCCCTTTTCTGGCCTCCGTCCACACTTGCAAACATAAGATGCACACTTACATATGTAACAGACCTCAGACCTTAGCACAATTGATTCTGTGATGGAGGTACCGTTCAGGACATGACATTTAGCGTGTAAACAACGCCGCTTGCCAAAACTAAAACAAAGGCTTGATCTATCCAAGTTTATAGTTCTAGGAAAGTCTCTAAATGGACTAACCTTGCTTTTTGGCTCTGTAGTTCCACTTCTGACTAACTGTTCTTGTTAACTAAACTATGCCAACATAGAACATTGTTTTTGTGTTTAATAGATTACCCTAAGAAAGGCTCAGGGATACACTGGAATCTTGAACCATTCAATGTAGTCACTGGCTCATAAAGACTTTTTATTGTCTTAAAATCATATCTGAATTGACTTCGCTGGTGGACACACCATAACACAAAGATAAACACAGAAACAGAAAGAAATCTTTTTAAAAATGCAAAAAGGGAGGGATCAGAAGGTAGACTTTCCAGGAGGGGAGATACAGTCCTCCACCAGTTCTATCAACAGTGAGGCTGTTCCCTCATGAGACTGGAGTTTTCTAAGTCTGGGCTTGCTGGGGGATGTCACCTACTGGTCACACAGCTCCCCTGGGGGATGTAACCTGCTGGTCACACAGCTCTCTTCCACAGTGCTCCTCTTCAATGAGACCGGAGACTCAGCTTCCTGGTTCTGAGCAACAGCAGCACCATGATTCCCAGTGGTCCCCAGGGACACTTGCTGCTTGTGGAAAAGGGAAGGACCGAGCTAGGAGGAGGGAGAGTCAATGATGAGAACAGAGATGCTAAATGAACTGAGAGCCTGGCCCCTGCACTCAGCAGTTAGGAGACTCGGAACTGCCAGTACCGACTATCTATGGATTCCTCTTTGAGGTTTATTTCATATAAGCCCATCGAGATGCCAGTAGGAGTACAAAACATGTGTGGAATCTAAAAGAGCCAAAATGTTTAAAAAAAAAAAAAGACATTATTAAAAGCCACCTGCGTTTCAAGCGGAACGTATTTACTAGGAAGTTGTGGTACTGGGTACCCTGTGTCATCAGTGAGGATCAGCCAAATGTAATAGAACGGCCATAGCAGATTCCACAGATACAGTTTTGTAGTCTCAATGGAGTGTAAAGGCCCAATCTCTTCTGAGACTCAAAGCAATCTCTCAGTTGTGACACAAGGATCTCAGGACATCGAAAATGCAAGTGGCAGATGAGAATGTAAGCGTCTGACTTGGTTGACTTTGAAAATGTTTGCTCTTCCAAAGACGCTGACTGACAAGAGGGGGAGAAAAGTGTGTGAGTGATCTGCCCAATAGAACGTTGCTTGGCACATCCTAGACTCAGTTTCTCATCCCTAGCCCCGAAGAAAGAGGACAAGGAAAATGGAGAAGAAGAAGACGGGGAAGAGAAAGAGGAGAGGAGGAGGTGGTAGTAGTGGCATGGGGAGCTGAGGAAGCCTTGAATGGATGGATACAGAATGGATGAGGTCATGAGTGACTGTGTATTACTGACCAAAACCCCAAGGCCTCAAACCCATGCCTTCCATCAGTTGAGCGAGGCTCAGAGGCTTAGCAAAGCCTTTCCTATACCGATGAGGCTCGGAATTGGCAAAGCCTTCCTCTGGCCCAAGTACCAAAGTTTTCAAAGGATTGACCAGTATGTAAGGGTTGACCAGTGTATGCTGTGGAATATTTCTCTACACTGTGTGAAAGTGTGTCACTGTGATTGATTTAATAAAAAGCTAACTGGTCAATAATTAGGCAGGAGGTATAGCAGGGACTTCTGGACAAAGAAAGATTCAACAGCCAGACACAGAGGAAGCTGGGTGGGCAAAATGTAGATGAGGTAACGAGTGTGTGGAAGAATGTAGATTTAAAACTATGAGTTAATTTGAGTTATAAGAGCTAGTTAGAAGCAAGCCTAAGCTAAGGCCAAGCTTTCATAATTAAAAATAAGTTTCCTTGTCATTTTTTGTGAGCTAGAAGCCCAAAGAAAAATGTGTCAATAAGTGTATGCAACAGCTAGCTACTGCAGCTCCCCGCCCCCCCCCCATGACTGTAACCTGAGACTGCTCCCCTACAGAGACCTCCTACAAGACTAGCTAATCTCTCCTTTTGATGTGCAAAATAAACCTGTTAAGGTTGGTGCTGCTCAATCAGAGTGAGCCCGGCCCACCTGATTCTAGTCTCTCTCTCTCTCTCTCTCTCTCTCTCTCTCTCTCTCTCTCTCTCTCTCTCTCTCTCTCTGACTGTTTTTTCTTCATTTCCTTGATGTCCTGGTCAGATTTCCAGGATTAAGTCAGGCTAGCCCCTGTGAAGAGGGGCATGGGAAGAGGAGGAGGAAGGAGAGAAGAGAACAAGGAAGGAGGAGGAGATAATTAAAGCACACACCAGAAAGTGTGTTAAAGAAGAGCTGTTGGGGGGGTGGCTTAGACCAGCGAGCGTTTCTCAGCGTGCTTTCTGTGGCCCAGGTGGCTCCCTTAATGACACTGACTCACCCAGAGCTGTGTTATTCTTCTTTCAACATGTTAAAAAACAAAACAAAAATTTATTTTGGTTTAAAATGCTTGACACACCTCTAAATTTCCCCTTTTAAAACAAAGTCTTAAGCAAGCAACTGTTTTCTTCTAAAATGTAATATATTTGTTTTATTATTCCTCCTGTTTGTTTTTGTAGTATCTTTCTAAAGACAATTCACATTAGGCTATTGTGTACCATAATAAAGCATCCCTTTTGTACCAGCGAGACGGCTCAGCAGGGAAAGGTGTTCGCCTCTAAGCCTGAGATCTGAGTCCATTCCGCAGGACCACACCGTGCAAGGAGAGAACTGACTCGGATGAGTTGACCTCTGACCTCCACATGTATGCCATAGCAGGAGTTCATACCACTGCAAAATAAATATAAAACTTAAAATGAAAAATTCCTTTTAATGAAAAAGAAAAAGGAAAGAAATAGCAACAGACAATCCAACTGCTTAGAGAAAATATGCCATTCACTTATCCAACAATGGATTTGGGACAAGAAGAGGTTGTGGGCTCTCAAAATTTAAGAAGGAAACAAAGAACTCTAAAAGACATCAGGCATAATATTTAAGCAAGTTTACCAGCACACACACTACAGGCAGAGACACCGTAGCAGTATACACAGTACAGGCAGAGACACCATAGCAACACACACACTACAGGCAGAGACACCATAGCAACACACACACTACAGGCAGAGATGCTGTAGCAGCACACACACACACACACACACACACACACGCACGCACGCACTGCTGGTAGAGACAATGTAGCAATTGCTTTTCTTGTTGCTGTGACCAAATATCAAAGAGTGAGCAATGTCAACAAATCCGGGTTATTTTGGCTCAGAGACTGAGCTGATTCAGTCCATCCTGGTGGGGAAAGCCATGGTGACAGTGGGCTGTGCAGCTGTGCAGCTTGATCACATCTTAGCCAACCAGGAGCAAAGCAAAGCTGTCGGAACTCCTAGACTGGCTCTAACCCTTAAGTTTCCTTTTGTGCAGTTACTTCTTCCTAACCGAAGCATTCCCTTCTTGAGAGTGTGCTTAAGACCAAAGGAAACATGGAACATAAGACATGGAAGGCCTCTCCTGAGATTATATGAACAGTAACGATGGTTAGAGAGGAGACTCTTCAGTGGAACTGCTTGCAGGCTGTGCAGGGATCTCCGGGGATGCTGCTCTAACAGCATCTGATGCTGGGCTGGACTTTTCAGTGCTGCAGCTGACTGTAAGCCATCCATACTCCTGTAAGTGCTCCCCACCCATACTTCTGTCAGTTGTACCCCAATCCCGCTGGCTCACTAAGCTGGACAGACCTTGGATCTGTTGTCTGGGACGTACTTGGGATAAACAGACATTTGTTCGTAACTCCCCTGAAAAAGTCATACCACAGCTCCCTTGAGCAGCTCCGAATTAAGTCCCACCTTCCAGAAATTCCCTCGCCTCCCAGACAGCACCACCACTGGGGACCAAGTTCAAACAATTGAGCTCACGAGGGGTATTCCACAACCAACTGCCGCAGATAGCCAACACACTGAGAATCGTGGAGATTAAAATAGAAACCACGAGTTCTCACCTCCTGCCACTCAGAATGACTGACAGTTAGGAAACAGGAAAAAGAGTTGGGGAGGATGTGGAACTGAGGCCTCACCCTGGCCTTGTGGGAACCCACAAGGACCTGACTCTAAGGGAACAACCTAATAGTTTCCTGTAAATTACAGTAGACATTTACATAGGACCATGCTTGGTTCTTCACGATGTTAGGAGTGACAAGGAGGCTAATATTGAAACATGCACACACACATGAATTCACAAACATAAATACATGTACACACATGTACTTACTCACATATACAGCACACACATATACTCTAACACATGCACACATCATACATACACAAAAGAGCTCATGCTCAAGTATATACTCACATACACATAAACACCACACAAGCACACACATGCACTCCCAGACATATACACCACACACAAGCTCTTGCACATATGTGTACTCATACCATATATATATACACCATACACACATGAGCTCATGCACTCACATACATGTATACCACATGCATAAGTTTATGTATGTACACATGCACACAAATGCAATTAATGCTAGCCCTGGGCATTGCGATGCCCTGATAGTTAACTGGGTTGACCCTAGGCTTCCTGCTCCTGGAGGGTGTCTTGCTCTTGGTCCTATGTGCTCACTCATGTGCGCAGCTCCACAAATTCAGGTGGAATAGTGAACATCTTTAGCATCTTAAGAATTTAATGTGCTCTCTTTGGCAGCACATATACTAAAACTGGAACTCTACAGAGAAGGTTAGCATGACCCCTGTCAAAGATGATATACAAATTCACAAAACATTCCATATTTCTAAAACATTTTTAGCTGTCAAAAAAAGAATTTAAGAAATAAACTTGCACAGCTGGGCATGGTGGTACATGCCTTTAACCCCAGCGCTCAGGAAGCAGAGGCAGGAGGATCTCTACGAGTGTGAGGACAGTCTGGTCTATAAATCGAGTTCCAGAACATCCAGGGTTATTACATAGAGAAACCCTGTCTCAAAAAGCAAATAAACAAACAAATAAAACCCCTCCAAAAAAAAACAAACAAAAAAGAAATAAAGAAGCTTTTGTTCATTCTTTTCCTATGCTGAGATATTCAGAACAGTATTTGTAGCATGTGCTTTAGTTATTGCAATGCGCACATCCGTGCAAACACTTTAAAGATATGAATGATTATTTCCACACCTCCACACTGTCTTCGCATGTGTGTATGAGTCAGTGCACTGGCCCCATGTGCATCTCAACAGCAGCACAGCCTCCCCAGGCCTGGGGAGCCGGGCCACTCCTGACCAGATCATGGCCTTCCCATGCCTGGCAAGATGGACTTGGAGTCACTGCTCCTTGCTTATTCTTGTGGTAAACTGAACTTCCCGTTTCTCAGATGAGCACCTTGAGTCATGCTTATTGCAATTTCGATGAGCAGCCAGGCCTGGTGGCTCAAGCTCTCATTCCAGCTACATGGAAGTCTGATGTAGGCGAATCTCAAGTTAAGGCCAGCTTGGGCAACTTAATGAGACCCTGTCTCAATATAAAAAGCAAAAGAGGCCTGGGGAGTACCTCGGTGTTAGAGGACCTTCGCAGCACATGTAAATCCTTGGGTTCCATCCTGAGAAATGCCACTAACCTTGCCAAATGCACATGCTGTGAAGTGCCTGCGTGGGTCACTTGCCATTGTACAGTTTAATTATCTGCCTTTCCTTGCTGCTTCTCAGGAGTCTTTTTGGAGAGTGGCAGATACCCCTGCACCACCACCACCCTCCCCTGCATGACCTTTTCACTGCTTATGGGATTCTTCTGCACTTTATTGAGCTGTGAGAACGTGGAAGGAAATGTGGACTCACAGCCGCTGCTGAACGTTCCCATTTAGTCACAACTGCCTTCTCGCCCTATACTGCAGCTGGACCCTAGTATTCCTGTCTCCTCAATAGCAGAATGTCAGTGTGATGTGCACTCTTTCATCAAATGCTTGCAGCCTCCAGCCCACCCTCGCCCTCTGCAGGTGACTGTGGCCAGGAGCTCAGCTCTGGTCAGCAGGCTGCAAGCCTGTATTCTGTAGTTCCTGAGCTTTGCTCAGGAGACACAGCAGTTTGTCTTTTTGAGTCTTCCTTTAAAAAAAATATATTTATTTATTTGATTGTACAAGAGACACAGCAGTTTGTCTTTTTGAGTCTTCCTTTATTTATAATTTATTTTAATTATATTTATTTAGTTGTGTGTACCTGAATACACACATATACTTTTATTATAGATGTATTTACACATACATACCACTGCATATACACATGCACTTGTATACATGCATATTCTACACACAGTTGCAGTCATACACACATAAGTATTTGCAAACATACATGTACCCGAACACACCAATCTACATACACAAATGCAGACGCATGCATCCACATACATATAGGTAGCAGAAAACACATACAATGCAAATACATATTCACCCTTAGATCTAGACACACACATGTGCACACATATGCCTATATACATATGCACGCCAAGTGAGTGCAAACACACACATATATACCTGAATATGCAAATGAATCTGCAGAAATGCACCCCACACACACCAGCACACACATGAACACACATATACACACCTCACACATACACCCAGGGTGGATGGTCCCTGAAGAAATGACATCTAAGATCTTCTGGCCTTCACATATGCATGTACACATGTGCATACACATCCTTCAGACACACCAAAATAAAAAAAAAAGACAGACAGACAGACAGACAGACAGACAGAAAGAAAGAAAGATTTAAAAAAAAGAAATGATGGCTTAACAGGCAGGAGAAGAGCAGGGAAGCAGGGAGTTTTCTTGGCTTTTGTCATTTAGACTTCAAAGCTGTAGCAATAGTTTACATGAGTGTGACACCATGAAACCAAACTGAGAGCAGGCATGGCTGCTGTCAGGACCTCTACCTCCCAGCACTCTTAACCACCGGGAGAATTTATTTCAGGCAATTTTCAGCAGAGTAACCTGAGGATACTCTTGACTGCATGGAGGAGAGGGGTCCCAAGACTACTGGTGAGGGATCACAGGAGAGCTTCTGGCCTCGGGAGGGGTGACCCCTTGGAGGGGGCTTGGAGGGCTTGCACCATCCCCCCTGCCCAGCACCCAAGTGGCATGGGAGGTCAGATTATGTTCAGACCTCCTGTGGAGACATTGGCACCCACACTGAGGCAGAGAGCTCACCATGGACAGCCATTTCAATAGCAGGTCTAGGGTCTGTGAGCCCCACCCCCACCCCCCCGCAGCTTGCTCTGCCCAGTGGCAGCGCTCCAAAGTCAATTCCATAGGTGACGACTCCTCAGACCAGCAGGTACTACTGTTCAGAAGATTCCATGCTCCTAACAAGCTGGCCTCAGCCGAATCACCCTGGCTGGTCTTTGGGGCCTAATGTCTCCAACAACTTCTCTGACCAGGAAAATGGGCCAGTGAACCAGGATGACATGGAGTCAAACATGAGAAGGAGAAAAGGAAGAATGAAGGGAAGAAAATGGGGAGGGAAAGGGGGGGAAAGGGGGTGGATGGGTGGGTGTATAATGGTTAGCTGTATAGATGGGTGTGCGAATGTATGTGTCGGTAGATGGGGTAAATGGGGAGGAATGGGTAAATGGAGAGATGGAGGGAATAGGTGGGTGGATGGGTGGGTGTATAATGGTTAGCTGTATAGATGGGTGTGCGAATGTATGTGTCGGTAGATGGGGTAAATGGGGAGGAATGGGTAAATGGAGAGATGGAGGGAATAGGTGGGTGGATGGGTGGGTGTATAATGGTTAGCTGTATAGATGGGTGTGCAAATGTGTGTGTCGGTAGATGGATAAATGAATGAGTAAATGTGTGGTTATATGGATAGACGGTGGGTAGAGAGGTGGGTGAGTGGACATGCGGATGGATAGGTGGATGATGGATGGGTACAGATGGAAGAGGAGGGAGGGAGGAAATGATTTTTTAGTAGGTGAAGCCTGGGGAAAACATGGCAGACCAGGCAGACACTATAGCAGCCTGCAGAGTAAAGGGTAAAGTTCAGCTGCCATTCCCACCACGGGCTGCTCATCTAGTGGTCACAGGAAACCTCAGAGACAGGGGCTGATGCTGCTCCTGGCTACAGAGGAGAAAAGGCAATAGTCTCTAGCCATGTTCAGAGTTACATAACTGGCACTTAGGTGAGGACCCATACCAAGTGGTTCCTGGCACTGAGCTGAGGCTCACAAGGATGCAGGGTCACATGGGTATACAAACATACTTTGGGTCTGGGATGACCCAGAAATCCAAATTCAACCACAGGTACAGGGAAAGTTGACCAGGCGTCTACAAACCCTCCGAGGCTGTCAAGCAAAGCCAAGGAGAGGAGGCCCTTAGTAATAAATCCCCAGAATCAGACCCAGGCCTAAATACTTCTGTGACCCAGATAGCTGCTCAGTAACTGGAGATAAAGGGACCCCGAGACCCTACCTAGCTGGGAGTCACAGGCCTAAGGCTGACCCCACTGATTGCCATAACTTCACAGCCCTGAGCACTCTCCGCAGGATGGACTAGAACATCAGATAGACCTATTTGACCCTTAAGGCTGTTTCCAAAGCTTGAGAATCTTGGCAGAGCTTCCAGGGAGGGCACATGAGGAGAGGGAGGCTGACAGAGGCCCTGCTCAGGCAGACGTAAATGGGAGAGGTGGCATCCTACAGCCTCTCTGTTCCTCCATCCATGCAGACCGTGGTCCTGCGGAGGCATCAGAGGTGGAGACACAGGGCACCTTGGTCCCAGAAAAGGTAGGCACAGAAAGCTCTTACCCTCCACACATAGTCTGGGCACACTACAAGGGACAGGGGCAAGAAAGGCAGGAGATGGCATTTAGAAGGTGCTAGAGAAGAGTGGGCCTCTTCCCCACCCTGCCAGACAAGGCTGTGTTTGGGTCTGGACTAGGTTCTGGCCTCTATCAGTGCCCATGTGTGAAGCAAAGGTTATGGCTACGGTTAGGAGTGAGGCAGGGTTGGGGAAAGCATAGACTCTAATCAAGCACTGCTCAAGTGGCTGGCAGCCCAGCCTGTGCAGGGCACAACTCTCATCCACCAGGGTCTGCCCACCGGCCCGGACCCAGGGCCTCTAGGATGCAATTACCATTCAAGATTCCTGGCAGGTGAAGCTGGTTAACATGGGAGCTAGGATGCTGTGAAACCAAGATGCGGTTCTTGTTGGGGCAGGCCCATGGCCTTGACACACCACCACTGAGGCTAGAGCATCGCTTTGTCACCTGGAGGTTAAGAAGCCTCTTACCTTTCAGACAGAGACTGTGTTTTCACACTTGTGTGCACTTGTGCATTTGCATATCTGTGCAAATTTGCATGCGCACGAGGCCTTGAACACGGCTAACGTGAATACTCCTCACAGGGTAGAGGAGCAGGCTGTACTTCCCAGATGTGCCACCTCATCATGTGGTCCAGGGCTACTTGCTTGCCTGACTCCCAGGGGACCCAATGCCTGTGCTCTCTGCCTTCCTTGCTTCGGGTCAGTGAAGTCTCCTCACCTCAGCCATTACCAGCTTGGTATTTGGCAGAAATACCTGGAAACAGGTGTATGGTCTAGGGCACCTGTTTCCAGGTGTTTCTGCCAAATTCCTCTGCCTGCCCTGTGAGCCTCCAACCCTCAGAGAGCAGACAATGTGGTACTACTTTCCCTGATGGCAGGGCTGTCACTGCAGGGCTTCTCATTCCCCTGCATCTGAGGAGTTGATGCCCTCTTTGTTCTACTAGGTGGTCCTCTCTTCTTGTCTCACACACCTGCTTTTCTGGTCTGGAATATGTCATGGCGTGTTGCTCTGGGATATTTCTCATTCCTTCTCAGCAGTGGTCTCTGATACCTAAACACTGAGGCCTTGGTCCTGGCCTGACCCTGGGTGAAGGACTGAGGAAGATTCAACTGGGATGTTAAAGTCTCTTGCAAGAGAGCTGATGTCCTGGGGTCCCAGTGACTTCTCTGCCTACTTAGGGTTCGTTCGGGTGGGTCTGGGGGAAGGCATAGCTTAGTCTTCCCCCTCCCCACAGATTTTTGCTCAGAAAGCCAGAGATCTGAACAGTCAGGGGCTTAGGACAGCCCCTCTGTGAGGAGGAGAGTCAGATTTCCGCGCTTGCTGGGACCCTGCAAGAGGAATGTGTACGGAAGGGGGCGCCCAAACGCCTGCCAGCCTTCTGGTCTGGGCTGCGCAGCCAAAGAGGAGCTAGGCTGGGGCCCAGGAGAGAGCAGGGGTCCACAGGAGCGGGAGGTCAGGCCTAGCAGCCTACAGACAGCAGGGGGAGCTGGGAGCCTGGCTGGTTCAGCCTTGCCTGGCGCCTGAGTGAGCCTGGCGCCTGCCATACCTGACCTCTGGGTGCAGATTGATTGGATCACTGTTTCTCCTAGGATCAGTAACCGCCCTTGGGTTGACCCCAGAAGGCTGAAAAGAGCCCTGAAGGTCAAATACTGAACCAGCCTTACACCCGCTCAAGGACCAGCACATACCTGCAGATTCTATGCCAACAGTGAGGCTCTCCAATAACCTCCAGGCCCCAACATTAGTGAGCCAGGTACCCCTGGGTTTGGGGAGACCTTCTGTGTTCACAAAGAAAGACTGTGGGCTATGGTTACCTGGGTCACTTTCTTTTTCTGAACTTGGAGTCCACTGCCTTAGATTCCACGGAATCACTGTAACTCTGTCCAGGGATCTCTGTACTGTAGTCCCCTGCAAAGCACAAGGTCCCCTTAGAGAAGTGCCCTGCAAAGACCCCCTAGGGCAGGATACCCACACAACAGAGTCCCCACACAGCAGACTTCCTATATACCAGAGTCCCCCTAAACAGGGTGTCTATATAGCATGGTTTAACAGAATAGGGACCTATGCAAAATTCCCCCAAGAGCAGGGTTTCTGCATGCCAGGATCCCCCAGCACAGGGTACCCACACATAGCAGGGTCCTCCTGAAGCAGGGTCCCTGTACAACAGAGCCTCCCAGAATAGAATCCTTGAACAGAAGAGTACCCACACGACAGGGTCCCCCAGAACAGGGTCTCTGCACAGCAGGGACCCCACAGAATAGGGATCCCACATAGCTGCAGTAGTTCTACAATACTTCGTCTATCAAAAAAAAAAAAAACCATCAGACAAATTTAGGAAAACCTTAGCTAAAAGAACCTGACTTGTTTGAAGGTGCTTCATGTCTATTCTAACAAAACAAAAACAAACAAACAAAAAAAAACAAGTAGAATCAGGGACAAAAACAGGTAAAATCTCTAGGACAAGTGGGTACCTTGGGACAGTGGAACATCAGTGGACAGGAGGGAGGTAAGAGCCTGAATAATTGGCAGGACAGAAAAGAGGGTACAACAGGACCAGAATGTGGGCCATCCAGAGCTGCAGAGAGCAAGCCGGACCAGCCAAACAGAGCAAGAAGGCAAGGTACTCCAGACTGGGGCCTGAAAGGAGCCCAGAGGTCTGGCCCTAGAAGCCTCCCTGACTCAGAGAGACCAACTAGTTAGTTATCTGGATAGTCAGACATGTGCTTTCACATTCAGAGAGCATGGATGGTCATTTTTTACCCAGCAAACACAGATGGTCTCTTAGCTCAGAGAATACTGAGGGCCCACATCACCCAGAGAACATGGGTAACTTACACATACGTGGAGAACTGTGTCTAGTTTGTCTATCAAGGACCCTGGAAAGTAGACCAGGTCTTCCCTCACACAGGCTTCTGGACCACCAGGTAACAACCATGTGACCCCAAGAAATCACTTCTTCTCTGTCTCCTATTGGCCTGGAGACAAGATAAGCCAGTGGCCACCTTTTAGAGAGCCTGAGTGGGCCCAGGAGCCCAATACTCATTTTCCAGTGACCCTCCCAGCACTGGGGGGTCCCCACTAGGGTTGGTGAGGCACTAGGGTGTACAGCAACAGAGATGAGACCCCATGCTCACCTCTCCCCACCCCCCAGCCTGGGACCTTGCCCAGGCTGATGCTGATGATTCTGCCAGTGGGCTGTCTGTGGGTGGGCAGCTGAGGGAGTTTGGTCAGGAAACAGCGGCTGTGGTGGAGGGCTCTTCCTCCCACACTGTGCATACAGCTGCTCGTGCTGGCAGCTAGTTCAAGACAGGCCTCTGTCCCCGGCTGGCTTTGGCTTCCCAATGTTCCCTTGGGTGGAGGACAGTGTGTGTCTAGGGAAGCCTTTGATCACATGCCCCCAAACTGAGGGTCTCCACTCTCCCTCCATGCCTGCCCTCCTCTCCTTGGTTAGCCCGCGCCCCGCTTGCTGCTAGCGCCAGCAAAGCTAGGGTTTGCATTGGCTTCAGGCCAAACCCCGGAATGTGCCTGCTGGCTGCCCGGCAGCTGTTCCTGGAAAAGGGGCGACAATGCACAGACTGTCTGTGAGATGGGGGTGGACGGGGTGCAGGCTGCCCAGAGCTGTGCATGAATAGAGTACAGAGGCCCTGAGACAGGGATGAATGGGTTCACTGGGCCCAGACACCCCTGAATGGGTTAGTACATCCAAAGATGCATTGGAGCTTGGAACTGGCCACCCAGGAGCCCCTACCTAGGATATGGGCCTATGTGAGGTCTAATAAGAGGTAGTTGTGAACACATACCACCCAGAAACCCTGGTAGAATAGGGAACAGTGCACCCCAGTACTCAGATCCACAGATATACTCAATTCAGGCACTCAGATAGGGGTTAAAAGGGACAACGCCCCAATTTCAGACACATTCAAAGGTCATTTCACCTCCACACTGGTATGTGTCACGTAAAGTACTGTGGAATTCTGTTATGGGGGTGCAGGACACCCAGACTCTTGTATCAGTGGGGTTCATATCTCCCACATGCTGCTAGATTGTGGGGGGTCTTCAGATATCCACAGCAGGAACTCTGGCGCTCAGAAGGTAAAGCAGCCAGCCTGGCGCCACGCATGAATAGAGACCGGGACCAGAAGGGATATGGACTCACATGGGCCGTGACGCCCGCTTGTGATGAATGGGCAGTGAACGTCCAAAGACGCAGTGGAACTTGGAACGGCTGCTGGGGGCCCTTGCCTTGGGATGTGGGCCTACGTGAGAGACAGGCAGTGCGGTGTTAGGCTGCCAAAGACCCTAGTGAAGGAGGACAAGCTGTCCAAACCTCAGGCGATGATGAAGAGGAAGACCGGGGCCTCGGAGTGGGGTGCATGTCAGCGTCAGCCAGCACTCTTGGGTTGGCGCACAGCTCCTGGGTGATGGGGAGGGTTGGCGGAGACCCTGGAAACTGGGGCGGGGGAGCTGTGGCGTGATTCTTGAAGACTTTCCTACCTAGCAGTTTAGAAGAATAAGAGGCAGGCTGCCAGACACCCAGAAAAGCAAGGGTTCCCAGGAAGAGGTTGCAGGGTGCAGCTAGCTGGGAACCCTGAGCATAAGCTCTCTGTTTAGAAGCCACAATCGCCATATCTCCCGATATGTAGGTAAAGAGACAGGGCTGTGCCCAGCCTTAAGTGACCACTATACTTGTGGGAAGGTGTGGAAGGTGCTCAGATCTGAGAACTTGTACACAGCACACAGACACCTGGATGTGGGTGCCTGCTGCACTTATGCAGAGACAACTGGGGTGGGACATGGAGACCCTCAGACAGAAGCATACAGGACAGTGAGCATCAGAAAGTGGGACTTTTGGAACCTAGCTAAGAGCAAAAGGTACCTAGACACCAAGACAAGCGAGGTATCAGGACTCCAGGGTTTGATCACCTTAGTTCTCTGGTGGGCAAAATATCCACATAAGAACTCCAAGAAAGGGTGACAGAATCGACCAGAGAAGGATGGGGATGAAGCTAATGGCTAGAGTTCTTGCCTAGGATGCATGAGACCCTGAGCTCACCCACAGCCCTGTACACCGGGCTTGGTAGTCTGCAATCCCAGCACTCAGGAGGTGGAGGCAGGGGGATCAAAACTTCAAGGTCATTCTCAGCTACCTAGTGAGTTCTAGCCTAGTCTGGGCTACACAAGACCCTGTCTCAAAAACATAAAGAAGCTACTATACCTTTCAAAGCAAGGAACTGGCTAATGTCTGTAAGGCTCAAATGTTTACAGAAGGCCACTCTGAGGACCTGAGGTTATCACGATGGAAACGCTAAAGAGCCCGTGAGTGGGAAACTCAGACCCGCAGTACAGTGGACTGTGGGAACTCCATGTTCAGCTAGTGGGGTGTAGGTAGCACGCACTCAGACCCATGGGGCACAGAGATGAGAACTCAGCAGTCAGCTCTTGTGCGGGCTCAGCTCAGGGGGCGCAGGTACAGAGTGCAGACACCTGGGCGACTGGGGGTGGGCAGGCAGCCCAGAGCTCAATGAATGGCACACAGAGAACCGAGACAAGGGTGAATAGGACGCTCACAGTGGTGTGATGCCCAGGAGCGGCGTGTCCAAAACCACAGGAACGTGGCGCCGGCCCTGGGCCTCCGGCCTGACGTGCAGTCCTATGTACCTTGTGTCAATAGGCAATTCAGTAAGCCCAGCAAATGGGGTACAGGCTGTCCAAGACCCTGGTGACCACAGAATGGAGCTCCTGTTCCCAAATGAACAGGGAACAGGTCACCTAGCTGCAGAGACAGTTGGATATTTAGGGCATATACCCCCAGGTATTCACAAGAGTAGATTAAAGACACCATTCTATGGTTTCCTTGGACAGAGACCACAAACCAATGTGTGTGAGGCCTTCATAAAGCTATATGATAGATGGGGTCGAACTCCAGTTCTCTGAAGCCCTTAGGAGATGCATCCAGTCGTTCAGTGAGTTCCACCATGATAGGGCATGTGTCCCCATATGTATAGGGGATGGAAGACTCACCTGGGCACTGCAGAGGTCAGGGTTCACATCCCTGGAGTCTTCAATAGAGTCTCAAAGCTCAGTGTGTCATGTCCAAAGACACTGTAGCATTACAACATGCCCAAGGAGGCTATGAGGTCCTGGTATAGCAGTGAGAGTGTACAACCCAAGCCAAAGCACAGGCAGGAGGTCCTCCCAAGAGGCCCTGATAATGGTGCCATTTCTCTAGATCCTGGGATGATGGGGTGTAGCCTCCCTGGATGGTTAGGAGATGGGTACTGTGTTCCTTGGGTGCTTAGGTGGTGGATCAATGTGCGTTCTCCAGTGCTCAGGAGATAGGACGCAGCCTTACCAGATGTTCACGCAATGAGGTACAGCCTCCCCAGATGTTTAGAAGTTGGGATTCAGCTTCCCAAAGTGTCTAGATAATGGGGCTCAGGTTTGTTCTGATGCTGGAATGTCAGGGATATTGTACCTAGCTTGTATCCCACAATATACAGGTAACCTGAGTGCACACACAAGCTACATACAGAGGTCTGAGACAAGTTGAGTACTCATCTTTGGCTGTCTCAGACCCCAGGTAAAAGAGGTGCCTAGAAGGATAGGGCTCACAACAGGGTCAGTACAGGCAAGGAGCACGTGTCCCATCCCTGCACGTCTCCTGCTTCTTTGCCAGAGGCTCTGGGCTCTCCCGCCAGCGTCTGCCGTGTGTTCTAACCTCAAACATTCCCCAGGCATCCTCAAAGGAAGCATCCGAGTCCAGGAGCCCCGCCAGGGTCTCCACGGGGCTTCTGGCTGCCAAGCCGCCGTCTGGGGGCCGCGGGCCTGGCTGTGGGCTGCCAGCTCTGTTTGGTTTTCTCCTTCCTGCCTCAGAACCTCAGACGCCGTCTCGCCACGGAGGCGCCCTCATTCTGGAGAGGCACAAAGACCCTACACAGCCGGGTTGTGGGAGCTACTTGTGGGGCCTGAAGCTCTGCTCTACAGGGGCCTGGTGGGTCCCAAAGTACAGGTGCTTGCTACCAGGGTGCCTCGATATCCCTGCAGGCACACCTCTGGCCCCTCTGATCATATTTGTAAGTCCCTGTTACATCACCTGAGTTATAACAGGGGATGGACCCACCACCTCATGTTGCTGCCCATGCGCCCAGAGCCACTTGTGAGCAGCACGCATGTACCCCATATGCCGTGGTCCCAGAGCATCCTCTAGCTGGAGTTTCCTCAAAAAGACCTATTTGACCATCCCAGAGACTTGGAGACTTGGGCCTAATGAGATAGGTCACATTAACCATTAACCATTCCAATTTCTGACTGCCAGTCACGGATAAAGGGCTGTAGAGTGACCGGACCAGACCAACTGGTCAGAGCACAATGAGGAACTCAGACTACATAGTGGGACCCATATTGATGGAACAGATACTGAGGTTAGATTATTGCAAGGACCTTGGGCACCAGGATGAAGGCTTGCTCACTGGGAAGCTGAAAACTCAAGGGAATGGAGCAGAATGTTCTCTGAGGGTGGCAACCAAGCCAATGGGCTCAGGTCAGCACTACACAACACCAGGCAGGTCCCCTACAGGGTTTCACCTTCTCTGTGTTTGGCTCCCTAGGCCTGCACTGCCAGGAGGCACACTCTTCAACCAAGCAGTTGTGACTCAGGCCTTCTGGGTGTGAGCCTGTACACAGGTCAGCCCAGAGAGCCTATCACCCCTGTTTGCAAAGCTTGCTGTGGGTGGGGTAACCTTCAGCCTTGAGTAGCCCCTAGAGATAGCCCAGAGTCCAGACACCTGTCCTAGGGCTTCAGACAAGGGGAGGCCCTTCTCTCTCTCAAGGGAGTTTCCTGGCTTCTGAGGGCCAGCAGTTCCAGCCATGAGGTGGGGCTCCCCAAAGCCCTGCCTCCATACCCCTTCCTCCCCGCAAGATTCTTTGGATCACTAGCAACAGGCAACGGTTCTGCTGTGGGCTCCAGGTGCTGCATAAGAGTGGACCAACCAGCCTCGCGGTGGCTAGGGTCAGAGCAAGAAAGCCAGAGCCTGGCAGCCCCAGGAAGCAGTAGACATCAGGTGAGGGAGGACCACCGCTGTCCTGGGGGCAGGTGTCTTTCTTTCCTGGGGAAAGGGAACACAGAAACCGCTCCCCGTGAAGTTTTACAAGGTTCGGTTACACTGAGGGTGGAGGGAGTTGGTAGCAGGTCTAACTCAGAAGTAATGGTTACTCGATCCTAGACTGCCGGGGAATTTGGAGGAGAGGCCCAGCACATCTGTACGTGGCTCCTGTCTTAAAGGGGGCACTGGGTGGCATCCAGCCCAAGCCGAAGTAATTCTGAGGGACCTGGAAGGGATACCTGGAGAAAGTGGGGCTCATGCAGGCCTTGGAGAATGAACAGGGTGAGAGAGGCTGGGGTAGTGAAGGCAGGCCTCAGGCCCAGGTATGAGTCAGCTGTCCTGCCTAGAAGGGATTACAGAGCTGGGTGCACAGAGCTGCTGGGAGGGAGCCTGGAGATGTAGCAGGGACCCCCAACTCCCTTTCCTGGGCCAAACAGCTCCGGTTGAGAGAGTCTTCCTGGGAAGACTACGAAAGTCAGCAGGAAGGCCTACCTGCCGCTCGGGGGTGGATGCTGCTCTCGGTCATACAAACAAGGATAGCCAAGGCCCTGGACTGGGACCGGAGAATCATAGAGCCTCTTTTCTATCTGTCCTACTCAGGCTCAGCTTCCCTGGAAGTCCATTATCTGCAAGCTGAAAGCTACCCGTGGGTGGGGGACCAGTGGGAAGAATGGCTCCACCTGGTGGCTGTATTTTTACCTGCACCTTTACCACCATGAGGACCTGGGGGTCCTAAGGGGCCTTAATCTCTCCAGGCCTTGAAAATCTCACTAGTATCAGGAGCCAGTGTTTCTGAGGACCCAGAATCCGACAAAGCTAGTTTCTAGACAGTCTGAAGTCCCTTGAGGACGTGTGTCACCACCAGGCTATCCAGAATGCCTTCGTGATCTACATGCAATGAGAAGTCTGGCTTCTGTGCCTCTGCCACTTGTTCTTACCGTAAGGGGGAACTTCAGACAAGAAGGGCAAAGAAATGGACTCACATATGCAAACACACACACACACGAGAGAGAGAGAGAGAGAGAGAGAGAGAGAGAGAGAGAGAGAGAGATCTCAATGTTACTTGAATTCCAACATTCACGCCGGCTTCACCGTTACCAAATGACAAATGTGGCTTTGTTCACTCAGGGAGCCAGACTTGTTTCAGCCTGGCTTCAGCCCTCTTATGCTAGGGACCCTTGAGGAACAACATGCCAGCTCCAGCCCACCCACTCATTCTGCCAGGTGCCACTGGGGACACTCTGGCTGTCCCCTGTGGACTCCAGCCTAGCAAATGACTTTAGAATACCAGACAAGAGTGAAGTTAGTGGAGAGGGAGGCTGTTGAGGCCTGCAGATCACCCCCTCCCTCTTCAGGGGACCCATCAAGTCTCCATGTCTACCAAATTACAGACTGGGATCTGAAATTAAGTTATGGTCTAGCTGTATGATTCATAGGGCCTGGGGATGAATTTATAATTGGATACCTGTGCTCAAACTTGAGGGGTTTCAAGAGATGAGGAGGGCATTCCGCCTAACACTATGACCCTCTCAGGTCCCCATCAGCCTGCTCTCCATTATGGATTCTTTTTTTTTAAATATTTATTTATTTATTATGTATACAATATTCTGTATTCCTGCTGGCCAGAAGAGGGCACCAGACCCCCATTACAGATGGTTGTGAGCCACCATGTGGTTGCTGGGAATTGAACTCAGGACCTTTGGTAGAGCAGGCAATGCTCTTAACCTCTGAGCCATCTCTCCAGCCCCCATTATGGATTCTTGTAATCACCGTCTGCACCTCTGCTCTAGGGTCATGCCAACTTCAGGGCCCCAGCCTCAGGCCATCCCTGGAAAGCTCATGGACCCACGTGTGCAGCATCCCTACAGGGAGCCCTGGGAGGCAGAACCTGGTCCTCTCCTGATCTTCAGCTACCCACAATCACTGAGGGGTGGATGTTTCTGGTCTTTCTGAGCTACGACTGCCTCTCTCCAGTCTGCCAGGTAGTGAGGTGCTGATGTTGCAGGAAGGGGTGTCTTTGGACTCATGTTGGGGATTTCAGGATGAGGGTACAGGAGAGAGAGGATCTGACCCCACAATTACTCACTCCTGGAGGGGCAGACTGCTCTAGTAACTTGTATGTAGTCTGGACTTAGACATGGCCGGAGGGGTAGCAGGCTCTTGTCGCACAGTGGGGTAGACTCAAGTTAGAAAGTTCTGGCCAGCAGCTGCCATCTAGGGAAGCTGCGGGGGCGGGGAGGGAGGCTAGGGAGATCTGAGTTCATGGAGTTGCAGTAGTTCCCAGCCCCCAGCTGGGGATCCCACCTTTCCAGCTCATGGTGGAAGAAGCCAGCCTGCCCGGTGTGTACCCTCCTCAGGCCCTGGGCAGGTGGGATTCAGAGGCCAAGGCAGCTAGCTTCATGGCCTCCTCCTTCCCACTCCCATGCCAAGGGTGGCCAAGCAGGCAGGTAGGCAAGTTTAGGCCGGCATTGATTCAGCGTGGAGGAATGTTCAGGCTCTCCCTGCCCCTGCCTGCCCCCACCTCGCCCTCATCCCCAGGCACTGCTGGCCTGGTGCCCATGCCAGCAAAGCTCCTTCAGCCTAGGCTTGCTGGAGCGCATGCCCAGTTGCTGGTGGCTTTATGCCCCAGCTCCCTCCCACATGACCTCATGGCCCAAGCTGCTCTTGGCTCTGAGGCTACAGTTAACTGGACTACCTGGTAGAACGTGGTACGCCTTTGGAATGCAGGGGGCTATGATGGGTCCTCCTCAGGAAATGAGACACCCCTAAAAGTGAGAAAAATCCTCTGAGCCCAAGAAAAAAAAGGACAAAGTTCCTCCTGCAATGTGAGTTGGTTCCAGTGAGCAAGGGTCAGCAAAAGCAGGTACCAGGCTGCCCAGGCTTGGCCTAGTTGGCTGGGGCTGGGGACAGGGAAAAGTGGCAAGAGGCCAGTCTTTCTCTCCCTAGCTTCCAGACTAGCACCCTTGCCCCTGGCCACCTCGGCTGCCTTCTGATCTAGGGTGAACTCAGTAGTTGCTGCTGCCAGCCGAAGAGGCAGTACACCACAGTCAAAGGGCCATCCCTCAAGTGACCTGGATTCCGCAGTTACCTCCTCCAAGCCAACAGAGGCAGGAAGATGGGGCGTGTCCCAGACCCCCACAGCACCTCAGCCCCAGTTGACACCACTGCTGAGCCCAGTCTCATTCCAGACCTCATTACCAGGATCCCCTGTGAGTGGTTGGAACCCCAAGAGTAGTGTGGGCATGGTCTGGGCTAGTAGACTAGTCCAGTCCAGTCTAGGTCCAGATTGTCTAGAGAGGTATTTCAGCAGCCTGTACCCTTGGCCCAGGGCCCCGCTGGGAACTCTTTATCGTCGTTCTTGCTGCTGGAGTTCTCCTGGTCTCTTGTCTGCTCTGTGGTGTCTACTGCTGTTGCCGCCGCTGCCAACGCCGCAGGAAGCAGCCCAAAGACAAAGAAGCTGTGGGCCTGGGCAGTGCTCCCAGCAGCACCACTACTCACCTGGTGAGGAGTGGAGACCTGTGTCTACCTGTGCCCAATCCTGTACTGGCTCACTGCAGGGAGGGGAATGCAAGGTCCAGGCTAGGGAGTTGAGGGCAGCCCTGGCAGGCCTTCCTGGCAGAGGAAGGAGATGAGCAAAGGTGATGGGGGAGGAGGCGTTCAGGAAGCAAGCAGATGCTGGTCCATGGGCTATTGGAAGCTCCAGTAGCAGTACGATGCATATCATGTCCGAAGTAGATATGGCTGGTCTCAGGGAGCTGCACTGAGGATATGAGCCATTGTGTGGGCTGGCCTGCTGCTGGTGGTTTGACCTATATTATGAGAGCCCAGGCCTCCAGTTGAGGATTGGTCTCAACCATACTTATCTGACCACGCCTCCACCCACCCCAGGTTCAACCAGATGTGGACTGCCTGGAGCCCTGCTCTGGGGGGCCGCAATAGTGGGGACAACTGCTGCTCTCACTGGAGTATGATTCTGGAAGCCAGGAGGTAAGTCCCATTCAGGATGTCCAGAGGCTCCGTAGCTGATGGAGGGTGTGTGTGATGGGTGAAGTGCCAGGTGGAGGGGAACGTGGGAAGAGGACCCCTCCCCCCAACACACACTCAGGCTGAGCCAACCCACTGGACTCCAGATTAGGGTGGGCCTGAGGCAGGCCGAAAACCTGAAGGCCGAGGGCACAGCGGACCCCTACGCCTGTGTCAGCGTTTCCACTCAGGCTGGGAGAAGACATGAGACAAAGGTGCACCGGGGGACTCTCTGTCCCATGTTTGAAGAGACATGCCACTTCTCAGTAAGTCTGACCTGGGTAGGCAGAGTGGGCTGGGGCCAGAGCAGTAGGACCCATCTCACAGCCCTGCCTGCAGGTCCCACCAGCAAAGCTGCCTGGGGCCACCCTGAAGGTGCAGCTGTTGGCTTTCAAGCGGTTCTCGGAACACGAGCCTCTGGGGGAGCTCCAGTTATCCTTGGGCACTGTAGACCCTCAGCATGTCCTGGAGAACTGGTACCAGCTGGGCCCTCCTGGTACCACTGAGGTAAGCCTGGCTGGCAGGGGCCCAGACCCTGCCTGTGCCGTAGGGGTGGCCAAGGTCTGGGTGCTGTACCTGCTGATCCCCAAACCCCAAAGGCAAAGATGACCCTCTCAGCTGCGGCCCTGTCTTGTTGCCCACAGCCTGAGCAGATGGAGGAGCTGTGCTTCTCACTGCGCTACGTGCCCAGCTCAGGCCACCTGACTGTGGTTGTGCTCGAGGCTCGGGGTTTGAATCCAGGGATTTCAGGTAAGAGCTCTATGGGGGGTGGACAGAGGGCTGGGCCCTTGTGCTCAACCTTCCCGGTGTGTGTATGGGACACACCCCTCTTGAACTTTCTTGTCCATGCAGAACCCTTTGTAAAGGTACAGCTCATATTAAACCAGAGGAAATGGAAGAAGAAGAAAACATCCTCTAAAAAGAACACAACTATGCCCTACTTCAACGAGGCCTTCACCTTCCTGGTTCCCTTTAGCCAGCTCCAGGTGAGGAGCGGGGAGAAAGGGCAGAGTGGCCTGGGACTTTGTGCTGGGTCAGTCTGACAAAACTGACAGCCCTTTCCCATTCCATGTCTGCAGAGTGTGGACCTGGTGCTGGCTGTCTGGGCCCATGGCCTGCAGCTCCGGGCTGAACCTGTGGGCAAGGTGTTGCTGGGTTCCCGGGCTTCAGGTCAACCCCTACAGCACTGGGCAGATATGTTGGCCCATGCCAGGCGACCCATCGCCCAGTGGCACCACCTGCAGTCCCCCAGGGAGGTGGATCGTGCTCTGGCCCTGAAGCCTCGCCTCTCCCTGCCTAGGCCTCGCTCCTAAAAGAACCCTACTGGAGCTTCAGTTTCCCCTAATGGAGCTATGGGCATTTGTCCAGGCTCTTCTGAGCTTTCTGTAATAAATGCCTTCTCTTTCCCACTCATGTGCCCTGATGGAGCCCCGTGAGGAGAACCTGAGACACAAGGAAGGCTCCACCTTGTCACCATTGTCCTCTCAAGGATGGGGTAGGGTGCTCTGGACAGTTCTGCCAGTCCTGAGCCTCTGCTCAAGGCCTGATTACTAGGTCTTCCCTGGGAGATGGCACCATCCTCTCTGGCACCCAGAGGTGGCAGAGGAGCAGGGGATTAGAGCTGGCCCTGTGGGGACAAAGTGGGAGACTGGGGGGAGTAACGTGTAGAGACAGTGTGAGGAAGAGACCCCCAAATCATGAAGAATGGTGGTATGGAGTGTCCTCTATACCATCAGCAGGGGGCAGTAGATGCCTTTGGAAGCTGCTCTGGGGCCTTTGGGGGCTTGCAGTCCTGGCCTGTGATGTACCTCTTAATCCCAGCACATCTGGCGGGCTTTAGCAGCTCCTACCTTCCTCTGATCCTCAGGGGCCCCAGAGCAGCAGGGCTGGGGCCAAGCCATGATCTGGGTGTCTTTGGGTGGGGTTCAGAAGCGGGAAAGGGGCGAGGGCCTGGCCCCAGTGAGCCAGGCAATGCAGGACCTGCCTAGGCAACCAAGAGCCCTGAGCCCCCACGGGTCAGAGAGAGGTTCCTAGGGCGGTGGCACCACTCTCTGGGGTTGAAGGACATGTTCCAAGTTGCCTGTGCAGAGAGACACCCATGGGCAGGGCGTGTGGCAGGCTGGGAGAGGCCCAACTGCTGGTCCAGGGGCCCATTTTCTCCTTTCCCTGGGCAGAAAGGCAAGTTCACTACAAGAGAAGGACATTCCTCTCCTGAGCCCTGACTACCACACAGGGCCAGGGAAACTGTTTTTGTCTTGGGTTTCTTTTGTTTGTTTGTTTGTTTCTTGGGGGGGGGTGTCCAATTTTGCAGGAGGACTGATGTGATGAACAGTCACCCCAGGGGCCCAGGCAGGGAGGGAGCACCCAGCAGGCACTGAGTGGCCAGATGGGTGCTGAGCTACTACTGGGCCATGCTATTTGACAGTGACTCCAGTTCAGCCTACTTGGGAGGCCAGGTTTCCCGTGGAGGAAGACTTCAGTGGATGCTTGAGCCGGGTGGGTACCTTGGAGACCCACATACAGTGTAATTCCTGCTGTCCTGAGGGCTCCTGCAGGAACAAGGGTGACATCTTGAACTTGTCACTGAGACATAAATAGAGCAAACCAACCCCCCCACCCCAAGACTTCTTGGACAGGCCAGCGCCTGGGCTGGCTGGCCAGGAGGCTGGGCAGGTGGGGAGGCTCTCCTCCTCTCTGTGCCCCCATTGGTCTGAGGAGACTCCATGCCCTTTCTGAGCAGGGGCCCGGCCTAGGGAAAGCCATTTATACCCCTCCCCCTGGCCCACCAGCCCAGCTCACTGCTGCCTGCCTGACCTCGCTCCCAGTCGTGCTGCACAGACTCTAGGTGAGGCCTGGCCCATCTTCCTGAGGCTGGAGAACAGGACACTACTCAGGCTAGCTCGCAGGAGGACTTCCCTGGGCAGGGACTTGGGGTCTGGGGTCTGCTGCCAATAGCTCTCGCTCTGGGGGCTCCCACAGATCTGGGACTGAAAAGCAGCAGGTGCTGGTAGGAGGGGGCAGAGGTCTTCATCAGGACCTCTAATGGCAGGTTCTGACTCTGGGGACACACAAGCGAGAGGATATTCAGGTCAAGCAAGCGGGGACCTGAGCCCCCAGGCCGCGCAGAAGAGCTCTTTCTCCTATGTATTTACTTCTCCAGCCAAAGAAGCAAGAGTTAAAAATAACAGGCTCACTCTGGCAGCCACCTGTGCTGGCCAGCCCCACCCCTCCCTCAGGGACAGCTGCAGCTCCTCAGGCCCCGCCTGGGACATTTTGGGAACACTTTCTCCTCTTACTTCTCACCCTCAGGGTGGGGGTGGGGGGTGTCCTCTAAATCCTTGCCCTCTGAGAAGGTCTGAGTTGGGGATAGAGCAGAAGCGGGCTGGTGAGCTCAGGCCTCCATGCTTGGCCTCGTGCAAGACACTGACATCTTCACCTCTCTCTCCCTACAGGCTCAGAGCTTGAAACCTCAGGATGGGGGAGTAAGTGGCACCCAGTGTGACCTCCCCCCCTCACTGCAGTCCCCTCACCACTGTTTGGGTCCCATATCTCCCCATCCTCTGTAGCTACCACACACCCCTTCAATCCCATCTACCCCAAGGTTCCATGGCTACTCCCATGGAACCACAACCTAACTTCTCTTTTCTCTCTCCCTCCCGCCTCCCTCTTCCTCTTCCTCCTGGGACAGTGAGGAGGTGAGTATCACTCAAGGCTATAATGGTGTCCTGAGACTAAGTCAGAAGACACACTTGTCAAGTGCCCCGCCCCCTGAACAACCCCAGCCAGAGGAAGGACCTACCTGGTGCCTAGTGAGAGGGAAGTGAGATTTGGGCCTAATCACAGGGGAATCACTTCTCCTTTCTGATTTCTGATCACCACTCACCTCCTAGGTCTCCCCTTGCCCATAGCCTCTGAGTCCTGGCCACACCCCTTCCCCATTCCCCAACTCCATTACCGACTTCAGCCCTATGTATCACCTAAGCAAAGTAGCAGGACCACAGACATGTGTTCCTGAAGCAGGTGCTGGAGTGGGAGAAAAGAAAAGCAAAAACAAAAACAAAAAACAGGGCCCTGGGCAGTGGCCCTGTGGCCTCCTTTGGAACTCCGGGCCAGATGGCTACAAGGAGGTCAAAGCTCTACCAAGGCCTGACTCTGCCTTCTCTGCCCTATCCTGCAGAAACGCAACAGGGCCATCACGGCCCGGAGACAGCACCTGAAGGTAGGCACGGGCTGCTGCAGAGGACTAGGTACAGAGGTGGGGGTGGCAGTCACCGCGCAGGGCCATCTGGGTCTGGAGATGGCACCTATAGGCTGCAGAGGGCTGGGGGTACAAGGGTGGGGGTGGCAGTCCCTGCAGAGCCTCACTCCCGCCTCTCTGCTTCTCAGAGTGTGATGCTCCAGATTGCGGCCACAGAGCTGGAGAAAGAGGAAAGCCGCCGTGAATCTGAGAAGCAGAACTACCTGTCCGAGCACTGCCCGCCTCTGCATATTCCAGGCTCCATGTCTGAAGTGCAGGTAGTCCCTTCCTGCCACACACCACCCAAGGCCCTGCTACCCCTATTTCTCAGCCAGTCAGGCCTGGTGGGTCAGGACGGGGAAGGGACAGGGGTCCTCAAGAGTCAGGGTGGTCACCCAACCGCTGCCTGCCCACCCAGGAACTTTGCAAACAACTGCATGCGAAGATTGACGTGGCTGAGGAGGAGAAATACGACATGGAGGTGAAGGTGCAGAAGAGCAGCAAGGAGGTGAGAGGGGGGAGCCAGTGCCTTCAGGGGTCATGAGTGGGGGCAGGAGGGACAGGGGACTTGAAGCAGCCAGGTGAAGCCAAATGATATGGGGGTGGGGCCAGCTGATATGGGGTAAAACCAGGTGGTGTGAAAACAAGGCCAACAACGTCAGGGACATGGGGGCTGCCAGGTCCCTAAACCTCCTGCTCCTTCTTCTTAGCTGGAAGACATGAACCAGAAGCTATTTGACCTGAGGGGCAAGTTCAAGAGGCCCCCACTTCGGAGGGTGCGTATGTCGGCTGATGCCATGCTGAAGGCGTTGCTGGGCTCTAAGCACAAGGTGTGCATGGACCTGAGGGCCAACCTGAAGCAGGTCAAGAAGGAGGACACCGAGAAGGTAGGCCAGGGCCCAGAGGGAGCCAAAAGGGAGAGTTCACTCACTGTCCCATTCATAGAGAATAAACTGAGGCCCAGGGTAGTCTGGGGAAGACCGGGGTGGGTCTGAGGCTTCTCTGGTTCTACCCTCAGGAGCGGGACCTGCGTGATGTGGGTGACTGGAGGAAGAATATTGAGGAGAAATCTGGCATGGAAGGCCGGAAGAAGATGTTTGAGTCTGAGTCCTAACTGCCCACTGCCCCACCCCACTCCACCACTGGGAGAGCACCCAACAGCCAGGCTGGGAGTACCTGGCCTCATGCCAATAAAGGATTTACATCCCTACCACTGGTCTGGTCTAGTTCTGTCTGCCCACCCTGTAGTCCAGCAGCAGTGATCAGCAGTGTGCCAGTGTGGAGGCCACACAGCTTGGGTACAGTCCAAGAGCCCTGGGCTGCACCCCATAACTGGGGGGTATGGTCCATGTCTGGACTTGTCTAACATGACAGGGCCTGGAGAAGAATGACCAGGGACAGCAACCATCTCTGAGCAGGAGTTTCTAGGCTAGGGCCTCTGTGCCCTGGTACAGTCATCCACTCGGGCCTTTAGCAGGCGCACCCTGAGGCAGGCTCAGTCTCCATTCTTCCAGCGCTGCCCCTTTTTAGGGCTCCATCTTCAGCCAAAAGTCAGAAGCCACCCTGAAAGGCTGACCCTGTGTGTCCATCCCCAGACTCAGCCCATGTCAGCCCTGACGCCTCCTATACACTCTACCTAGTGCCTGCCCCTCTCCGGACATTGAGGGATGAGGGTAAAGTTGAGCCTCACACTTTGCCTGGATGCATCATTGCCTGGATCTTACTGGTCTAACAAGGCCAATAATACACTCACTCTGAGGAACATGGGGCTGGGATGGTACAGCACTTGACTTCATAGCTGGGCCACAGGCTCCAGGCCTTCCCACAGAGGTGCACATGGCTATTCTAAGTCAATAGTCTCTACTTCCTCCAAAGGCCTGTAGTGAGCTGGTAAGACCTGGGTCCCTGTTCCTGGGTAGAACTGTGACAGGCCCAGCCTGGTGCTATCTTGACTCAGAAGGGAACTTGTCTTGTTTTTGTAAGTCCCAGGCCCTGGCCTAGCTAAGACAATATCCCCAACAGGTAAGACTGTGGCCCCACCCTTGCTTTGTGGGAGATGCTTTCAGGGTCCTAGGTCTTCAGTGGGGATCCCAGAAGGGGTTGCTCCACCGCATCCTGGAGTTGTGAGCAACTCTGGGGCTCTTTCACTGACAGTCAGAATTCCCTTTATTGAGGATGGCTCCCTGGCCCTCCCTCAAGCATCAGGAGTCTTGGTTCCACCACGCTCCTTTCACCAGTTCCCAAAGCCCCTTCTAGGCAGAGTCTCAGCCCTGAGCGTGTCCCCCAATGTCTAGACTGATTCCTACAGCAGCAGGTCAGACCTCTGGGGACAGTTATGCCTCATCATGGGGCTGGGCAGGGCAAGTCAGAGCAGGGGGGCTTAGACACGGAGCAGCATGACAAGGCACATGCCCGGGGCCAGGGATTATGAGACGCTTCAGTGAGAAGCTGTGTATGGTGATGTCAGAGGAAAATGGGTACTGCAGGAAGCTGTACGGGAGCACGGTTCCAAGCTCATGTTTGTACCGGGCAGAGCTGAGCAGGTGATTAGACAGTGACTTCAGCAGAAAGACGGGCCTGAGCATGACACTCTGGAGGTAACTAGTGAGCCTGAGTCCCACCTGGGTTTGTACTTACCAGGAACAATGTGACTGCATCCTGCACACCAGGCATCTGAGGTCTGGGAGAGGGGAGGGAGGCAAGGCCACTGCAGGCCCTGCTCTGGGCAAGGACGGCTCAAGGCCATGGCTCATAGGTGTATTAGCTACTCCTCTCACTGTGGCGACAATACCCGATGAAGAAACCCCAGGAGGAAGGAAGGGTTGGTCTGAACTCATGGTTGGAGGATACAGTGCATCACGGTGGGAAGGGATGGTGGTAGAAGTGTGCCTTGTCACACGGCATCAGCAATCAGGAAGCAGAGTGGCAAAGACTGGCTTGCAGCTCGTTCTCTCCTTCTCATTCTCTCTGGCTCAGCCCATAGGTCAGTGCTACCCAAGGTTATGGACGGTCTTCCCACCTCAATGACTCCACCAGAAACTCTCCCTCAGACATGCCAAAGTATTAGCTAGTCTTCTGATGCTGGGGAAAAAATCGCCATGACCGGAAACAACTTACGGAAGACAGTTGGGTAAGAGTCCATCATGATGGGGGGAGCAGGACTCAACAGTAGGTAGGGTGGCCAGAGCAGGAAAAGAACTCACATCTCACCACAGACATGACACAGCGGGAACAAACTGGAAGTGGGGCTAGATTTTAGTCTCAAGGCTCGTCCTCAGTGACACATTTCCCCCAGCAAGAAGGCATCACCTGAACCTCCCCAAACAGGGCTACCAACTGCGAACCAAGTGTTCCAACAAGAGGAATAGTTCTCATTTAAGCCACCACGTGCCCAGAGGTTTGCCTCGAGGGAACTCTAGATCCTGTCAAGTAGACAATATTATTAACATTATTTTTTAAAAAAATTGTCTCTTTTTTTCTTAAAGCAAGGAAATATCAAATATAAAACTCCAGATTATGTTTATCCAGGGTTGGAGGGGGCAGTGGGCACAGAGTAGGGGGCATACAGGAGCAGAGCTCTTCACAGATATAAGCTTGGGACATATAACTCTTGGGCGGGATGGCAGATTTACGGGCACTTACTACATTTTTCCAGTGAATGAATGAAATACGAGAGACCTTTACAAATCAAACCAAACCAACTGACCCAAGGGTGATGTGCAGAGCCATACCCCTGTGCTTAATGCTGTCCATGACCTCATGGAGTGACCCTGGTGACAAGTCATACATTGCCAAAGCAGCAAGACTAAGCGGAGCAGTGGATGCCTGTCCTCCACAGCTTTGTATTCCAAAAAGCTCTCAGTAGGTGCACGGTCCTTGTAAGGAGGCGAGGTAGGGAATGGGGTAGGGGAGCCAGCACCATCTCCTGGGAGGAAGAAGCTAACAGAGACATGGAATGAGTGGGCAACCAGGACTTAGTGGCCAAGGGAGCAAAGGACCTGGGGTCATGCCCCCGAGTTCAAGAGCAGATAAGAAGCTGGCTGTGGACCGTGGGGTCCGGATGTCTGTGAGAATTCCCTGGATAATGACAAGATATGGGATCTGGGCTGAGATGCAAATCATGGTCTCTTTAGACATGAGAAGGGCTGGTGAGAGGAGGGGAGGAAGCAGGAGAGATGGGGGTGAGAAATACCTACAGGGTACACAGCGAGGTCAAAAGTTGAAGAGCCCCTGGCATCCCAAGCAACTTGGGCAGAGCAGTGGCCAAAGGAAATTAAAGGCTTTACTTTTAAAAGTGTCCGCTGAAGACCAAGGAAGTAGGGCTTAGGTGGGCAGGTATATGAGGTGGTGCATGCATGGTTGGTACAAAAGTGGGCAGGTGGAAGGGTGGCCAGGTTCGAGGGTGGGCAGGTGCCAGGCTGTGGGTCTGATGTGCAGGCACCTTCTTGGGAGGGACAACCCAGGAATGAGACTGAAGACTGGGTCCTAATAAGATTCTCTTCTGCAAGCAGGAGGTGGTTGTGGGTGCTGAATATTTTTTCAGAAAAACAAAAAGCGGTCAATGCAAAATTTTAAAAAATTAAAGAAAGAGTGGAAGCCAATCACAGGACAAAAACTGGCAGATCAAACACTGGCTACTTTGGTAACTGCCCTGTGGCCAGCAGAGGACTGCTCTCATGTTAGTAAAGTGACTGTAAAGCTGTGGACTCTTAGGGATAAGGAAGGGGAAAATGGAGGCTGACAGAGAAGGTAAGCATGTTAGCCCTAGCAACACAGGCTCAGCCACCGTCCTCAAACAGATAACCCTGAAAAGCAGAGAGGAGCAGCCACATTGGGAAGAGGGACAAAGAGGTACAGAGACTCCCAAGTCTGTCCTCGGGGGTCCGGACATGAGGTTCAGGGTTAAACAGGGGGCAGGAGGTGTGCATAGCTAAGCAGTCCTGGTCAGGGTGTGGGCCTGCCCGTCACTGACCCATCACTGTCAGCTCCAGGCTCTCCTGCAAGGCGGTCTGACAAGTTCTCAGAACTCCGTGAGGTCTCTCTGGGAGACAGCCCCCCCCCCCCCACTGGCACCAGGCTTCAGCCTTTCCTTTCCCCAGCGTGAGACTCCTGGGAAAATTCCGATGCCATTGTTTTAATAATCTGATAGCCTAGAAGAGAAGCACACCTGTCTCTTTAGAAAGCCTTTACTCCCACCTGGACGGTCACAAGGGGAGAGTGAAGGGGAAGGGTACTTGGTAGTTGCCCAAGCCACTCTGATTCTGGATATTTCTGACAGTGTGAGATTAATTCTCTGAAAAGTTAAACTTTTCTCAAATGCATCAATGTGCGTGCCGGCAGTGCTTATTCGGAAATCCGAAGTCGACGAGAATGTCTTCCTTTATCACTCACCACCTGATTTATGGGGGACAGGGCTTTTTACTGAACCTGTAGCTCACAAGATTCAGCTAGACTGGCTGGCCTTCTAGCACCTGAACTGCCTTGAACTGCCCACGGACACCCTGCAGTGCCCCACGCTATGGGAGACTAGGACCTGACCGGCTTTACCCAGGCCAGCTCTGTGTATGTTTGTTCCTCACCCAAGTCTGTCTAGAACAAGCCTACCAGCTCTAGCTCTCTCCATGTGGTGCCGGGGCCTGAAATCTGGGGTGTTAGAGTTGAACTCAGTGGTCCAGACCTACTTCACCCCAACATTAGGCCTCAATTAAACCTGGTAAGGTTACAAAATAGGCATAGGGAAGGGAACACCTGCTTGACCAGATGGACACTGGGTACTTCCCTCCTGCTTTTCTCTTCAGTACTGGCCCTCTGGCCACCAGTCTGTGGGAAGTCAGCCCTAGAACAGCTAGCTTGCCTCTGCCCAGGCCTAGAGAATTCCCCTGTGGCCTCCTCCAAGCAGCCTCCTTGGAGCACCCGTCAGGCCATTTTTTGTCCTTAGCCCTAGAGTCTACCTTTCCGCTCAGTTTCCAAAATGACCAAAATTCTTTGTATTCGTTTAATTCTGCAAACACATAAGCTTAGCCACCCAAGCTGAGCCAGAGGACAGTTCATTCCCAAGAACACTTGGGGAACTGTCTTGTTTATATCAATTAAGATGAGAAGACCAGAATGAAGGTTCCCCGGGCAGCACTGTTTCCTGGTTTAGGTTCTGGACTGTATAAGAGTGAAGAAAATGGAGCTAAGATTAGACACATGCATTTTTTTCCCCCT